CACGCGGCGCGGCGGCACAGGGATGAAAATCTGGTTTCACAGAAACAAACCTAATCATGAGAAATGGGAACGATGCTTCCGCTAAGGAGGTGTATGGTTATTAGCTGGCAGGGCCTGGCACGCACGCATCGCGGTGGCATATGAGGCACACTCTGTGCCATCTCATTGCTTCGGTTGATATATCTTCTGGTGACAGCTTGCGGGCGGGGCAAGTAGATGTCTTCGAAGATGAGTGGCTGTGGCATACGGAGTACGCGGCCGAACATAAATCAGGGAGCACGAATCCTTCAAGTATGAGGTTACTCAGCTCGAGCGGGCTGCACGGCCGAGGCGAGATGACAAGGACCCCAGAAATTAAACTGAAAATAAAATACGGTGTACTAAGCCCACAGTGCGCTCAGCTTGACCAATGATAATGCAATCGGCTACAGTTATTTCCTAATGTATCACAGGGCCCGATGACATGGAACTAAAGCAAGTCAAATCAATTAGCGGGCTATTGTCCTAAACTCTGAACCCATGAAACTTTGAGTGGCTGGCATCTGGCCAGGATATCTTTCAGATCAGGGATTGAATCATGTTCGGCGAACCTGACTTGATGGCATGAGTATGTGATCTACAAAGAGGATAGAAAAGTACACGTCTTCTGATCTGACATCCCTTGTCTCTGTGATGCTTACTGCCTCTGTGCCTCGTTCTGGACTAAGTGAGAGAAAGGTAACTATTCGAGGTGATCCCTACTCCGTACATGGCTGTGGAATTTAACTAGTCGTAGATTATTGTCCAGGTCCGGGCTTCTCCTGTCTCGGACGGTCGGATTGTGACCGCCATTTTGCAGTTGCTGGATTGAGCCTGGTACATCAGCGAGGCGCTAATTAGGCGGAGGAGCCTAAGTTACTCCGTAGTCTACTCCGTACAGTTGGATTACTACTTACTTATCTCCAGAGTGTGCAACTGATGATCGGAGTCATTTTGTCGTCATATTGCTCTGATTCTTCTCTTAGTATATAATTATATTGACCTTATCCTGACAGTAATTGAAGAGATGCCGACCGTGTCCCGCACTCGAAGGCATTTCAAGGCATTAGGGGGTGGACTCTAGAAGTAGAGGGGCTAGACTAGTTCCAAGCCAGCTGATACTGTAGCATCGATGGACATCGGTGTGGGTGTTTGATAAGATCATCTCTGTGATGGATTTTCTCCCCGAGGTCCCAGTTCGTATGCAAGCGGACTGTTATTGTCGAGGGATCGGCGAATGGAAGGTTCTATTTGAGACTTGTTTGACTAAGAAAGTTCATTGACTGGCTACTGGCAAGTCCAGGTCCAAGCCAAGGGCAAACAGCAGGGAGCAACTTCCCTTTCAACCTGGTACTGGTAGTCCGGTAGTATCCCTGCACAACGCCATTCAGACTGGGACAAGATCACAAGAGATCAAATGGATAGATCGTCGGCCACTAAGCACAGTACAGAGTACGTACAATCGCACATACGTACTAAAATGGGAGACAGACCCACTTGCATTGCCAGGCAGAGAAGAATTCAAGAAATCAGTAGCTCTCTAACTGTAAGACAAGTACCTTAAGAAGTGAGTCTATGACCCCTGACTCGGGACCCGTTTGATTCCATTAATTTTCTAGCCCCCTGCGGTACCCGTGGGTCCGCACATGCGTTCCAACTTGCCGGCGGTTTCTTCCTGGGATCCTCGGTCTTTGATTCGCACAGCACTCCTCAACCGTCCGATCAACCACCTTAGTGTTTCTTTAGCGATGACCATGTCGATGAAATGATGGATACACTCTTAGTACGGAGTCTACGGAGTACAAACCACGGACTCGAGTCCCTATCCTGTGTACAGCCATTCTGAGAAGATTGCATACTCATGACCGAGGACAATCGGTTAAAGCTACACAGGCGATCATGGTAACCGCCTTGAAAGCAGGGATTGAGGCGAGTATGACAGGGGTTAGGGAAATATGAGAAATCCGGCTTGTCCCATGGATACTCCATAAAGCACAACAAACCACCAGAAGTGAGATACCTTAGTAGGCTGTAAGTCGTAACCTTCAAGCCGCTTGAGCCTTGAGCCTTGATGTCTTAGTGACGTCGGTCGATTGCTCGGAACTGTTGACCAAGCTTATTGATTATTGATCATATGCACCTTTCAACAAACTCTGCGCAACGCGAGAAACATCCCTTGTATCTACTTCTTTTGAGGGCTGCGTTGGTCATCGCCTACGGAGTAGTAACATCAGACTCAAGAGTCGAAGGCTGAACTGTTGGTTGATAAATGAATAATACCCCACTCTAAATTGTTGAGCATATTTTCGTCCTTGGCTCACTCACCTTCAAACCTAGAATAAAATAGTCCAGTCATCCATCAATATTCCGTAGTAGTATACTGTATTCCGTAATGGGTAACAATGGATTTCGGCTGATGTTGATCACAGCCAGTGTCACCTCGATATCAAAATTTGCTTGTCTCAATATTGAATGTCTTACGCCCTGGTCCTTGACCAACAAGCCACATAAAATATATGAATTATGGTGTAAAAAGGATAAAATCTCACCTTCCACATGACTCCTGATCTTACCTTAGTCTCTCCGTATGCTGCGCCTAATCGGACTGTCAAAGGCTTGGTATGGAGTGCTTGGCGTCTCCCGTGTTACGAGTTTACGAAGTCTAGCCTTTCATGTTTAATCTATCTGGCTTTATCACTTGAGTCCAATCTTATCCATCGCAGAACTAGAAATGCATAGCCAAGCCTATGACGATGGTGGTTGAACTTGATCCCCGAGCGGTGGGTTTCAAAACGAGATAGCGGATCACAACTTCAACAGTGTTCCCCGGTGAGGCCGAAGGATGCCTTTTCTATAGTGATACAAGGGCGTAGCACAGGCAACAAGGGAATGGTCAAAGCTGGATACCATCTATCTATGCCTTGCAGAGGGACCTCGTTCACCCTGGAGCGATGATGTAGTTGTATTCCTTCCGTAAAGAGGCATTGAGCATAGCAAGATGTGACGCATCGAACGAATGAACCTGCGGGGATGGAGACTAGACTTGGTACGAAAAAGAGGTAAGGTCAGACTCGAGAAAGGAAGAAACATTATCTGGACCAGCCCCCAATTCCAAGAGATTTTGAATGCCGAACGCCGTAACCGCACAGCTGCGGCGTCAGTAGAAATTTGCTAGTGTGGCTTGAACGCTAAAAACAACATTCCAGAAAAAGAGGGGACCCTTTTAGTTGAAGCTGCAAAAACTACTCCGTAAAATGAGCGTGTTTCTCTGCAACCTTGCAGCCACTTATTAATAGGGCCAAATTTCGGGCGAGACAGAAAGCAAAAAAGAAGAGGGAAAATAAAATACGGCACTAATTCAGAATGTCGGTCCATCTGAATGTTGGCTAGTGGCCACAAGTTGATGATCGGGTCGGATCGCCTCTCAGCAGTGAGCAGTCTACAGGACAGGACAGCAGCAATTCACTAATAATGGCAGTAATAAAGCTCCAGCTTGATGTACAGCTGCATTGGGACTTGGGAACTCTTGGTCTCCAATGATTGATACCTACTTATACATGTTCAAATCAACAAAGGCTGACTTGATGCAGGTGTGTGACCATCAACCTAATCACAAAAGATGTAACTTATTTCCGGGACTTGCATTGCAGTCAGTCACTTAGATAGTCACACACGGGCCTTGAACCTGGCCATTACTACGGAGTACTACTACTGTCTTAGTTTCAGCATGTTCCAGACACACTATCTTTCTGGTTCCTTCTTTGACTGCCAAATTTCCAACCCTGCCCTAAGCGTTCCTTTTTTATTTCCTCCTTGAATTTCCATCCAATGAAAATCCAATTCCTGGTAACCTTTCATGGGTCTGATCATCCCCACCAGTGGTAAGGTATTCAGCATTTCCTTCTCCACCACCACGGCGGCATCATGGCCACCACCACTACCATGGGCCCAACAAGTCCAGAGGGTCCAGAAATCAAGCCGCCAGACATCTCTTCTGAAAAGGCGGTGGAGGATATACTCCGTAGACGAGAAAGAAAGGAAATAAATGAAATGAATTCATTAATATTAATCCTTGGGAATGATGAGTGGAGCCGCCGAGCTAAGGCCATGCCCATGCCTCTGAATCATCCATCCCTACCACTACGGACGACGGAGTACGGAGAACCAGCCTGCCTCCTCCGTTCCTTAGCCGTCTTGCTTGTTCCATTCTTTCCCCTGTGAGACTAGGACTAACTGCCTAGTCACTAGACCTATTTTGTTAGTGTCAACGTTGTGTCATCTCACTATTGAAGATGTGTCCGCCAATAGTATCAACTATCAACCTTTGGATCGTGGAGCTGGGGCGGACGGTAGATCGGAAATGTCCATGTCAGCATGTAAGTTGATGCCACGAGTAACGAGTGAGTATCCATCACAAAAAGTAATTATTTTTTTTCGATATTTTATTTTCATACTATATACTAATAAAAAATCACTTTTCTCTTCAATCTATTTTTCTAAAAAGGGTAACTAATTTGATGCTATGGGGACACTGAAGATCTCTGGACTAACCTGCTGTCTACCACTTGCTGGTACCTTGCCTTTTAACGCCCTGTGACCCCTTGTGTCATCTTTATATGATGAGTCTCGATCTCTGACCTTATTATTGTGCATCTTGCTGCAGTCATCCATGGATTTCAGTCCACCTCCTATCCGTCATATAACTCTACGCTCTACACACCTTGTCCACCTCTCGCCTCCATCTATCTGATACTCTCACCATCTCACCAATGGCCGACTGCTGGCAACCACAAGCCTCCGTAGCAGGTCCCTACTGGATTTCCCCAGAAAACCAGCCATGTTTCCGTACATCGACGTTTCGTGACTTGATGTACACTTTCCCCAGACCAAAGCACACTAGTCGGGTGATGAAACCCCGGAGTGCTGGAAACAGTCCTTCCTCTGCTGCCAAGCGAAGGACAACCACGTCGCACACTTCACCAATGTACCGGCACCTCCCGCAGCAGGGTTATCAGGTTCAGCTCGAAGCTGCTCTTGCGGCGTCAGGCACCCGCAGAACACGACAACCGCGACCAATGAGTTGGCACCCGGCATCACTGCGCTCGATGGGATATTCCACCTCCCAGTACTTACCGGCCACCACTATGTCTGGAAACCTTGCTGTCACGGGTCTATGCGCCTCGTCATCTAACACGGTTCCTGTTACCTATGGAGGCGAGGGCATTCTCCCTGCGTATCCCACCTCAGATGCTGCGATGTTTTCATCTTTGTCCGGCATGGAAGATCCGACAACGATGCAGCAACAATACCTCTTGCAGATGAACGGCTCGCAGGTCGAGCCAGTCACTTGGGACTCCGGTGCGTCTAGCTTCTCCGGGATGGCTCCGCCCATATCTGAAGGCTGGTCCTTCGATATGATGTCCATGAACAGCAGTATTCCTTCGGCAGACGTTGCGGGGTCGAATTACGAGAGCGCGCCGTCTTCTGGACCTCCAACGCCCAATTTTCTCCCCATTCAGCAGTTCGATGAGCCGGATGCGGTTGAGGAGAAGCCGGAGGACGAGCTTGTTGGGATGGGCCTGTACAGCCATCCTGACGCATCGCTAAATGGTTCCTTGACTGGATTAAGCGGCAAGGGCTTGAAGCTGGAGGAGACTTTTACACCATCGCCGGACGACGAGACCGAGAATCAGGATGCTGACGGAGAGGATGATGACCTGCAAGAGACCGCGGAGAAGCAAGCCGGCGACAGTCTCGATGTTCGTCAACCGCAACTAGGGCCTCAGACACATGACCAGCCCGTGAAATCAGCACAGAATATGCTTAACAAGTCATTCTTTTTCGACGATGATGGCGGACTAGACCAAGATGGCGGGGTAGTTCCCCAGCAATTCTTCAGTCTGGAGAGTCGGCCATGCTTGAATTACGCATATGGGTGGATATGAATTGGAATTTGTTTCTTTGTTTCTTTGCCTTTTTTTTTTTTTTTTTTTTTTTTTTTTTTTTTTTTTTTTTTTTTTTTTTTTATATACTTTTTTTTTTTTTTTTTTTTTTTTTTTTTTTTTGTTTTTGGTGGGGTTTTTTTTTTTTTTTTTGGGAGATAATTTTTGAGGTGGTTACACACTGGAATGAAAATAATAATGTTTTTTTTATAATAACTTCTAGACACCCAGACCTAGGAGAAACAACTTATG